TCTCTCTCTCTCTCTCTCTCTCTCTCACTCACTCTCCCCCTCTCTCTCCCTCTCTCCTTCTCTCTCTCCCCGCCCCTCCCTCTCTTTATAGCTGTCTTGCACACGACGAGGATACACTCTTCCTCACACTCACACACTACCAAACCTCAATATGACTCACAGCATGCATGCATGGTAAGATCTGTCAGCTGTTCAGCTGTGCCAATAGTTTCAATGGTCGCACCAGCTTGTTCCTTAATCAGCTCACTCGACTGTCCTTTGACCTGTCTCCAGTGTCACTCAGCTGTCTGATGATGCATACACTATAAAGTATGGCTGTCATTTGGTAGCTCTTTTAATCACAAGGGGGCTATCCCGAAAAAGGCTGTTTTAAGAAAATCGAAGGTAAAGTTTTTGCCCCTTGTTCAGTTTCTTTAATTTACTTTAAAAGACAAGGAGAGTTTTTTTCTATAACCAAGCAAATATACTCATCAGTGAAACCAAACTCCTTCTACAGGTAGGGCAATGCCCACTTTTGGTGTAGGTCAAGATTTCTGGAAACCCCCGAAATCTGGGTTAGCCCGCTTGTCCTTTTAACAAAAAGCGACCGTATAGATATATGGCTGTCATTTAAAAGTACTAGTTTGTCCCTGTCTATTGAACTTTCAACCTGCTCAGATGTAAACGTGGCGTCGGTAGCCTAGTGGTTTGTGAGATTGCGGGTTCGGGGGTTCGTGCCTCAGCTCGGTCCGACGTCGTGTCCTTGGGAAAGACGCTTTACACGAACTTCCCACTTGGCTCGGTCCTATCGGAGACGGATGTTAAACTAGGAGGTCCCGCCTCTTAAATAACCTAATTTAATAGTGTTGATAGGGGCGTTAAACTCATACCATTTCACCATTTATTTTTTTTTGGGATGTAAACGCATATATTCCTGCCTATTGTCTAGTCAGTGCAGGTTTTATTTTTATTTTTAATTATGTTTTTTTTGGTGGGATATTGGCGGGGTTCGGGTGTGGCCTGTGCTCCTTCTTTCCTATCAAATATCTGTCTTCCTGATCTCTCCTTCTTTCTGTGTTTATTACTAAGTTACTCTCTTTTGTCACCACCTACCTGATTGTGTTGCGAGTGCCGTAAAACCTTTACTTAACCTGCTTGGGTGTATACACGCGTATTGTAGCCTATAGTCTGGTTAATGCAGGGGTGTTTTTTTTCTTTTTGTTTGTTTGTTGTTGTTTGACTTTTTTTTTCATAATATATACTATGTATTAGACAGGTCGGTGTGGACGAATTGGGTGTGGAAAACGTAATGATGACCTTGTCTTGTTGAGAGTTTAGTGTTTAGTCGAGGGAAATTTTGCACTAGTTCTAGTCATCATAATTTTATAATGTTAGGTTGGCTAAAAATAAACTTTGTTAATAAAAGGTTAAGGTCCGTATTTGGCGCTTACTTAACCTAGAACGTACATTCGGGGTCTTCCCTCTTTAATGTATATTATTATTATATATAGACTACTTTTGGAAACATGACGTCAACGTCATCCATCATTGCGTAAGACGTGTTTATCTATTTTAAGACTGGTTTTCGGATGAGGTCGAACTTTACATAAAGTTTTGTATAAAGCTACTATCTTTCTATTTTTCTGTCTCTCTTACTCTGTCACGTGGGTGGGGGGTTTTTCGGGCGGGGTGGGAGGAGGTGATCTCTGGTGTGGCTTTTTCTCTTTCTTTCCAGTTCCTACTGCAGTCTTCATACATGTCTCCTCTTTCTTTCTTTCTTTCTTCATCATTCTCTAGTGACACCTTTACCTTTATTAATCTACAAAACTTATATTTATGAGACCGATTTGTTTTTGTATCTGCCGTAAAACTCGTTTCATTAACTTCTTTGTCCCCGGTCCAGATAACCCTCATTTTGACGATGTGTCTTCCTTTTTTAGCAAACAATACCATTGGACGAAAGAGGCTAAAAAGAGCACCTAGACATAACGATCTTTGGGGTGGCTGGCATTGGCTGGTTCCGGGGTAAATAATGTATTAATGGTTAAGGTTGGTTCCCATTGAACTGGTTTTTCGTTGTCTTTCTTTATCTCGCCGACTTGTTCCTCGTCGACATGCTTGAGTCACAGCCCAGTTGGCGCAGGTTAATGGTTAGGTTCCGCTCCATTGGATGCTGAAGACGTGAGTTCGATTCTCAGGGAAGGCATTTTTTAGGGGTGGGGTTAGAAGGCTGCTTTCACGTCAACTCTGCCCGGGATGACTTGACAGAATGATGGACATGTGGAGAAAGGGCGGAGGATAGACATTGCGAATACGTGCACGTGTAGATGGGG